CTTTCTTTCGTAGCTAAATACCTCATTAAGCTAATTATCCTACAGAAAGTTTAAATAAATTTAACCCTAAATCCTAATTCCAATAAATAATAAAAGAAAACATGACCATGAGGTAAATGATATGATAATAGTTGAAATAACTAAACTCCTCAAGAGTTATGTTTAAGAGTGCCTGGGTGGCTCAGTGCATTAAGCGTTTGCCTTTGACTCAGGTCATGATCCCAGGGTTCTGGGATCGAGGCCCATATGGGGCTCCCAGCTCAGCAGGGAGTCTGCTTCTCCCTCTCCCTCAGCCTGCTGCTCCCCCTGCTTGTGCTTGCATGCTCTCTCTCTGTCAAACAAACAAACAAATAAAATCTTAAAAAAAAGCCTACAATAAACAAAGCAAAAATAACCTCTAAACTTGTTAACTTTTCTTATATTGGGAATTATTTCTTCAGATTTAAATTACAAAACTTTTTGTAAATTATCTGCTCTATTACATATTTTTCTTTTGGTATCTTACAGTCATAGAAATATGAATAAGCTATTACTATATAAATATTTTATATGTTTTTATTTTATATACAGACTTTTAAGAATACATAGAAATCATCACTACTCTACTCCTCCCCCCTTCAGAACTGGGAAATAGAGTGAGATTGCTTGTAGAAAGTTAAACTACAATGAATCAGAGCAGAGATATGTCAAATTGAATGTATTAACATATATAAGGAAAAACGTGTTAACCAAAACAGTGTTGGCCAGTCCCAGAAGCAAAATCTCACGGCGGTGTTTCATTGTAAATTAATAAATTAATTAAGCCAGTAATTCACTGATTGCAATTTGACTTCCTGTGCAGATTGCCCTCAGGGAGAAAATGGCCTTGTCAGGCAGATACAAATATCTCAGTTTTTGAGGCAATTACATTTCTCATTGTAAATTGAATTGACATTTAGTCCCAAGATTCTATTTAACATTAGTCTGCCAATAAGAAATAAATCCTCTGAACCTACAAAACCATTTTAGAATGCATAAGGCTTCTGATCATCCCTCCCACCTTGGGGCGCTCTCAGTAGTCACATCGTTTTTGGTTTTTTTCCCCATAATGGGATTCGTGTTTATCTCAGTTAAACCTGTCTTTCCTTCATGGTTTCTCTTATTGCTTCTAAACAGTATTCCCTGTAGAGACTTGTGAAATACTGAATTCTGTGTGTTCTACTGTTTGATATTTTAAGCATTTACTGACTTAATCCACTCAGGCAATGCAGTTTACACATCAGGAAGAGCTCACAGTGATTCATTCATTCATTCCTTCATTCATACCATAACTCTTCATCAATTCCTAAGTGAAAACCTGCATTTTTATCAGGCGCTGAAATGTTAACTGTAAAGATCTTAATTTAGTGGAGAAAATTCACTAGCGTAGAGTGCTCTGGTGGGTCAGGAGTGCTGTGGAAGTTTGAAGAGGGAACCCTATCCAAGCCCTGGGATTGAAGGTAGAGAACTGGAAGGTGTGTGGGGGATAGGCGAGGGTGTGGGGGAGCATTCCAGACAGGGATCAAAGCCCCAGAAATATGGGAGAACAAGGCTTATTTGGGAAATGTGAGCAGTTATATAACTGAAATGAAAAGAGCAAGAAGTGCAGGGGTGGAGTGGTTCTCAGACAGACTGGAGAACGAAGCAGGGATGAGTCATGATGTTATTTGTCCCAGGATCCCTGGCAGGAGTATCCCTACTGAAATCCTCCATCAGTCTAGTCCACATATTGTGTGTTCAACTCTACCAGGGGTCGGTCAGCTTTTTCTGCACAGGCCAGATAGTAGATATTTGTGGTTTGCATGCCAGAAGGTCTCGGGTCACAACTATTCACCTCTCCTATTGTAGCCTAAAAGCAGCTTTAGACAGTATGTAAACTAATGGGCATGGCTGCATTCCAATAAAACTTTATTTACAAAACCGACAGCAGGCTGTAATTGGCCCATGGACCCTAGTTGACTCCTTACTGGTCTAGAAGGGTTCCTTCAAAATAGTAAAAAAATCACGTTTGGAAATAAAGCTCAAATAAACTCACATCTGAAATTATAGGGTAGGTTTTGTCTATCTGCAGAAACTTATCCCAGTTGGTTGAGAACTCCTTTTTGAGAAGGATAAGCATTAAAGAGGGAATTAGTAAAACAAAATTTTTTAATGAATTAGGTAATTAATATCACAGATAATATTCATTCCAATGCTTTCATAGCAAAATGTCAACCTCAAAATGTTTTAAACTTGTAAAAATAAGAACTTATATTTATACACCATTTTAAAGGATGCACTATTTCAGGACGCCTGGCTGGCTCAGTCAGAAAAGCAGGTAGCTCTTGATCTCAGGGTGGTGAGTTCAATTCCCATATTGGGTTGTAGAGATTACTTAAATGAACTTTTTAAATAAATGAATAAATAAATAAGAATGTGCTATTTCTTCTAACTTTCACAATGACCTCAAAAATCCTAAAGGCAGGATACATGTTTATTTCAAATAATTCCTGGAACCCAGGAAAATGCCTGGCATGAAGTTTTGTGCATTAACTAAGAACATGTAACTAACAGCAAATAATCATTTTCTCTTTTTGACAGTTGAAAAATTTGGTCTTAGAGTGGTTACATGGTTTAATAAGGTCACAGAAACCGTGTGAGAGGCAGAACTAAAATCCAGATTATCCAACTCTTGGTTTTTTGCTTTAGTTATTCTCTGCAGTCACAATCTAGAAAAGAACACACATCCAAAATCATACTATAATTAATATTGCATAAATACACCAAGATTACTAAAATATCTTTTATGGTCTGGACTTACTGTCTTTGCTCAAAACTCACCTTCAACAAGGAAATGGCTCCCCACTCTTACTCTAGAAATGCCTTAACACCATCTACAAGCCAAGAAGCTGGCCACCAAATCTGCCACCACCTTAGTCTTGGACTTCAGGCTCTAGAACTGTGAGAAATAAATGTCTATTCTTTAAGCCACTCAGCCTGTGGTATTCTGTTACAGAGTATGAACAGAGAATAAGACAGATACTAAAGTTTGAGAACTACTGCCCCAGGAGACACAAGGCTTTTTTTTTTTAAAGATTTTATTTATTTATTTGACAGAGAGACACAGTGAGAGAGGAAACAAAAGCAGGGGGAGTGGGAGAGGGAGAAGCAGGCTTCCCGCAGAGCGGGGAGCCCGATGCAGGGCTCGATCCCAGAACCCTGGGATCATGACCTGAGCCAAAGGCAGATGCTTAATGACTGAGCCACCCAGGCGCCCCAGACACAAGCCTTCTTAGTGACATTTTGGGAGAGGTAAGAGATAAAGAATGCACGGTGAGAACACTTTCATACGCTTATTTGGGCCATAAGACCATCAAGCTCATGTAATCAAATGTTTGAATATGATGTGTGTTTTGTCGTAGCATCATGATAAACATATTATGCTTGGCTATATTTGACTTCTGTAAAAACAAACATTTGGGGGTGGCACTACTTAATACTACATGACTCTAAATTAATTTTAAAACTTCAAACAATCCACTCCTGGATGATTGTTTTCCATTTTCTTAGGCAATTATAGTGAATGATTGGGTCACATGGGTATTTTACTTGGTAATTGAAAGTTTGAACACTGTAATAACAAATTATTTTCCCTTTAAGAATGTTTTATACTCATATTTATTATGTGAGGCATGGCTTATGCACGTGGGCATGGTTACATTAATTCAGTATTTAGCACTGAATTCTATTTTGGAAGGATCAAGAAAATAATTATAACTGTAATACCACATATTAACATGTTTGCTTTTTATGTTTCTGAGTGGTTCAGTCAGTTTTGTCATAGGAAATGGCTGATATTCTTTACTTGTTACTAGATTATGGTTTCAACAAGATTTATTACAATTAGAAAAAAAAAGTTACTGGATATCTCTTGAATTAATTGAGCTTTGTAAACCCATTTCCTAATACTCCATTTTCACATTAGAGGGATATTTTTGTTGAAAGTTATATCTTGCTTTTTTATACTACAGTGTTTCTCAAACTTATATTCGAAAAGATATATTTAAATAGAACTGCACTTGTTCATTGGCTTTTATGATTATTAGAGAATACTGTTATTTTTATTTAGCACTAGACAATTTTTTTAAAAAATATTTTCTGTCTCTGCCTTTCATTCTGTTCTTCAGCCAAATGATTTTTAAACAAAAACTTACTAGAATAATACAGGTTCTTTAAAGAAATTTTGATTCTCCAAGTGACTTGTTTTTGTAACATTAATTACACACTTTTATTTTTCTCTCTCTAGGTTCATAATGTATATATGTTTTAAATAGGAGTCATTTCATATTTAAACCTGCACATGATCAAAATTTTATAAAAGTTTATCATATATAGCAGTTTGACTAAACATTGAAGAACAAAATTATTTTTGTAATTACAAACTGGGTATATTTCTTCACAAAGTTTGTTGCTTTAGTGATTTCTCAAAATATCCAAAATAATAAATATTGTCACTATGGTTATCTTGATTCTCTTGGTAAAAGATAGGATGTTTGGTCATCTATTTTTGTGTTTATAATATTATAAAATATCTTCTCCTCAACCTCCTATATCAAAAAATCACTGGATTATGTGTTCCAGTTTGTGTGTTAGTGTGGCAAGAAAATAAATTCATTATATAAATTTTTCGAAATAGTATGAAAAGTCTACAGGACATTAACAAACTTGTAGCTGTTGAATTTTAAAGTCATTGGAACATAATCTTTGAAGTGTTCTCCTATCTGTAACTTATATAAATTGTATGTGTAACTCATAAATGTTGAAACATTTTACTCTTCAGTTTTGACTAATGCGATACTTGTAATTAAACTCTTGACCAACAGGTGGTGCTAGAAAGTTTAATATTTATTTCAATAGTGGAAATTACTGGGAAAAAATGTAATTTTTTAAGCATTATAAAACAATATTTATATGTGATTAACCGCTGGTTGTTTTTGTTACAGCTCCATTTAAAACAGTACGACTGATTGGTGGTAGAGCTCCTCATGAGGGCAGAGTGGAGATTTTCCACAATGGTCAGTGGGGCACAGTTTGTGATGACCACTGGGAACTGCGAGGTGGACAGGTCATCTGTAGGAGTCTGGGATACCAAGGTGTTCAAGCTGTGCATAAAGGAGCTTACTTTGGACAAGGTAATTAAAAAAAGAATACACACACACATATTTAAATGAAATGTAGGCATTCTCTAATACATAGAATAAAGTAGCAGCAGGAACATACAAAATAGGAAGAAAAATCCTACACAGGAGTTTTTTGAATGGCCTTTCCTAGAAAGGAGAAATGAAAAGAAAGATACTAAAAATAAATGGCATATGCTATCAGGCAATCTTTAATGTTTAAGTTTTATTTAGACTCATCTGGTTAGTTGGAGAACACTAACATAGAGGAAAACAGAGTGATTGGTAAAGCAGAACAGGAGAAATAGGGACAAGTGAACTACAGACAATCCTGGGAAGCTCACTTGATGGATCTGGGTCTCGTGGGCATCTATCTGAGCAATCCCATGTGCTCACTCATATTCTCTCTTCTGTGGAACTGGAAAGGAGGACATTGGCTTGTGCATTTACCTCCTGGTCATACCCCACAGGAATGAGAGCTATTCTTGGTCTGTGATGGAGCACCTATATTCTGAAAGGACAGTGAGGAACCATAAAAGAGAAAGAAGCAATTATATGGGTTCTCCATACCTACTACTTATGACTTCTCCAAATCCTTTCAGACATGATGAGAAATAAGGGAAAAGGAAGGTTACTTTCCTCTCTATTTGAGGTTGCTAAAACATTGAATAATTCTTTTGATGCATGCATGTTTGTGTATTTTTACCTGGATGGCTCAGTAACCTATTATATAAACGTATTAGAGAGCTGGGAAGAAAATTTGCAGAGGACAGAAGATTTGAATGTATACTTTGGACATTTTTACTGTCTCATTTTTTTTCTAAACAGGTACCTTACAGTAGGCTTTATGTATAATTAAACATACAAGTGCTTCAATCCTAAATGACAAAGAGATTAGAAAAAATAAGCATATAAATTAGACTTTCAAAGTCAATATTTTTTATTATTTATTCTACCATCCAAATCTGATAAATAAATAATTGGCTTCTCTGAAGTTGATGTTGACAAAAAAAAAATTGGCCCTCTTGATTTTATAAGTGTTATTTTAGACAGATATGGGCAAGAATAAATTATGTGCTAAATTATAGAGATAAGATTATCTGGTGATGCTGCTATTCTGTCTATAGTGATAAAATAGGGGAGTGTGTCAAATCATATAAAAAAACTACAACAGTATAAGATAGAATTCTTAAATTCATAAAAGATAGTAAGTAATATGCTATTACTATGGGTCAGCATTGTGCAAAAACACGTGAATAGTACCAATGAGAGTTCACAGTTAAATCTTTATTCCTTTACCTAAATGAACTCACTATATCAGATATGAGGTAAATTAAAGCAGAGATCTAGGTTCCAAAGTCTTCAGAAGTCAGAAATATCATTTAGTCTCCTATGAAAAGATGAGATAAGACAAAAGAGAATGGTGATGGTGAGAATTTCAGTCCCTGGCTCCAGTTTTTTATTTGTGCCTTATAGTTTTGGATAGAAGAAACAAAGGAAATAGAAAAGATCTATAATTGCCACAACCAAATAGATATTTGGAATTTCCATATGTTCCATCTCTACTACATTTTTAGAACTTTCTCTCCAGGTTGAAAAGTATGAGCTAAAATCATTCTTGCACCTGTAAAAAGCAAAATGTTTTAAATGTCAATAAGCCAGATTTTTTTTTCCCCCCAGAGAAGGAGAAAACAGAATTAAAAAATCCCCAACTCTTGGTCACTAGAGAATCAAATGAATCAGTCAATCATTTAGCAAGACCAAACTGCCAATCTGAGTTTCCACAATGTTGTATGGGGAGAGAATTTATTTCTATGGGAACTAAGACCCACAGCATAAAGGCCATTAATTTCAAATACTTAATCACCTAAAACATTTAAAATGACTGTTAGCATCTATGAAGTGGAGAGCCGTGGTGCTAATAGATGGTATACAATTTTCATCGACGGTGACTTACCTGGTGGATGGCTAAAATTCTTCAGTTTTAGGAATAACAACATGTGATTTGAACTATTAGGATGTGCCTATGTAGACAAAGTGAAATATAGTTTGCCATTTAGTCAGATAATTTAATCAACACGGGCTAGCTAAATAGCTCAATCCAAAAAGAGAAAACTGTCCTAAAATACCTTTCATCAAGATGACTAATTTTATAGCTTACATTATCCAAAGAGTTGACATTTAATTTTCTATCTTTACAAAATAAGCCCCGTACTGCAGTTTATTAATCTCTTCTATCTTGAACTAAACTCTTCATCTATTACAAAGGGAAAACCAAATTCAGAGCAACAGCGGTAGCCTATGTACCTTAATTAAGGGGAAACTAATAAGGTTTGGCAAAATATGATCTATGGAAGGAAAGCAAACAAGATGTTCCCCAGTTTCATTTCGTTACTGAATATGAAGCCCAGTGCCCTGGACTTCAAGGCTATTTTCTTTTTGTTGTTGTTATTGTTGTTTCAAATTTTTATTTAAATTCTAGTTAGTTAACATATAGTGTAGTATTAGTTTCAGGAGTAGAATTTAGTAATTCAGCACTTACATATAACACCCCAGTGCTCATCCCAACAAGTGCCCTCCTTAATGCCCATCACCCATTTAGCCCATCCCCACCCATCTCCCTCTATCAACCCTCAGTTTGTTCTCTATAGTTAAGAATCTCTTATGGTTTGCCTCCCTCTCTCTGCACCCCACCATGTTCATCTGTTTGGTTTCTTAAATCCTACATATGAGCGAAATCATACAGTATTTGTTGTCTTTCTCTGACTGACTTATTTCACTTAGCATAATACTCTCTAGCTCCACTCACGTCACTGCAAATGGCAAGATTTCTTTCTTTTTGATGGCTGAGTGATATTCCATTGTGTGTGTGTGTGTGTGTGTGTGTATTTATATCTATCTATCTATCTTTCTATCTATATATATATATCTTCATCCATTCATCAGTTGATGGACATTTGGGCTCTTTCCATGATTTGGCTATTGTTGTTGATGCTGCTATAAACATTGGGGTGCACAAAGCTGTTTTCCATTGAGTTCGAAATGCAGGTGGTAAAAACAAAGTTGGAGATGATTGTGTTAAGCTTGCATTAACATTAAGGCCTCATCTCACAAGTAAAATATTCTTTTCCCCAAAGCCTTTATTCATTCCTGTTTGTATTTCTAGGGATTTCATTTCTCAAATACTAATAAGAAAAGATGGAATTAAGTATTCTGAACTATTGGCAAGAAAATGTTTTCCATTTAAATAAGAAATGAAACAATAGAGTTTCATCTCATGTGAAATTATTTATTTGGCTGTATGGAGACAATTCTCTCAAGTTTTCTTTTTTTTTAATTTTTTCTATTGTATTTTTATTTTTATTTTACTGAATTATGTTAGTCACCATACAATACATCATTAGTTTTTGATGTACTGATCCATGATTCATTGTTTCCCTATAACACCCAGTGCTCCATGCAGTACGTGCCCTCCTTAATACCCATCACCAGGCTAACCCATCCCCCCACCCCCTCCCCTCTAAAACCCTCAGTTTGTTTCTCAGAGTCCATAGTCTCTCATGGTTGGCCTCTCCCTCTGATTTCTCCCCCTTCATTTTTCCCTTCCTTCTCCTACTGTCCTCCATGCTATTCCTTATGTTCCACAAATAAGTGAAACCATATGATAATTGATTTTCTTTCACTGACTTATTTCACTTAGCATAATCTCCAGTCCCATCCATGTTGATGTAAAAGTTGGATATTCATCCTTTCTGATGGCTGAGTAATATTCCATTGTATATATGGACCACATCTTCGTTATCCATTCTTCTGTTGAAGGGCATCTCGGCTCTTTCCACAGTTTGGCTATTGCGGACATTCCTGCTATGAACATTGGGGTGCATATGGCCCTTCTTTTTACTACATCTGTGTCTTTGGGGGTAAATACCTAGTAGTGCAAAAGGGTAGCTCTATTTTTAATTTTATGAGGCACCTCCACACTGTTTTCCAAAGTGGCTGTACCAACTTGCATTCCCACCAACAGTGTAAGAGGGTTCCCCTTTCTCCACAACCTCTCCAACATTTGTTGTTTCTTGCCTTGTCAATTTTTGCCATTCTAACTGGTGTAAGGTGGTATCTCAGTGTGATTTTGATTTGAATTTCCCTGAAGGCTAATGATGATGAACATTTTTTCATGTGTCTGTTAGCCATTTGTATGTCTTCTTTGGAAAAGTGTCTGTTCATGTCTTCTGCCCATTTTTTGACTTGATTATCTGATTTTTGGGTGTCGAGTTTGAGAAGTTCTTTATAGATCTTGGATACCAGTTCTTTGTAGTGTCATTTGCAAATATCTTCTCTCATTCTGTGGGTTGCCTCTTTGTTTTGTTGACTGTTTCCTTTGCTGTGCAGAAGCTTTTTATCTTGATGAAATCCCAAAAGTTCATTTTTGCTTTTGTTTCACTAGCCTTTGGAGATGAATCTTGAAAGAAGTTGCTGTGGCTGATGTCAAAGAGGTTACTGCCTATGTTTCTCGTCTAGGATTTTGATGGATTCCTGTCTCACATTGAGGTCTTTCATCCATTTTGAGTTTATCTTTGTGTATGATGTTAGAGAATGGTCAAGTTTCATTCTTCTGCATGTGGCTGTCCAATTTTCCCAGCACCATTTATTGAAGAGACTGTCTTTTTTCCATTGCATATTTTTTCCTGCCTTGTCGAAGATTATTTGACCATAGAGTTGAGGGTCCATATCTGGGCTCTCTATTCTGTTCCATTGGTCTAAATGTCTGTTTTTGTTCCAGTACCATGCTGTCTTGGTGATCACTGCTTTGTAATATAGCTTGAAATCAGACAACACGATGCCTCCAGCTTTGTTTTTCTTTTTCAACATTTCCTTGGTGATTAAGGGTCTTCTCTGATTCCATACAAATTTTAGGATTGTTTGTTCCAGCACTTTGAAAAATGTCATTGGAATTTTGATCAGGATGGCATTGAAGGTATAGATTTCTCCGGGCAGCATACACATTTTAACAATGT